TCACAAAGATGTTGTTTTGCTTGACGATAATCCCTTTGATTCGAAATCTGATGATTATGAACGGCTTTGGTTAAAACTGAAGATTATCATTGAGATGATATATGTACATGTATGTGTAGTCTATTTCCCTTGTGATGGTCGGGACATGGTCAAAACCCAGGAATTATATGATGAACTAGAGCAAAATGTAGCATCTATTAATGATGGTAATAACATCCTTATAATGGGTGACTTTAATGGTAAGATACCTGGTTTTAAAAATGATGGACATCATAGCCCAAATGGTGACCTGTTAAAACTATTTAGTGAAGTGTCAGACTTATCTATTCTTAAAGCTGGACTACGCTCTTGTTAGCCAATGACCATTTCAGCAATCCCATTTTGTAAATATGGTTATTGATGAACATAAAGAACTCTCAGTTGGTATTGATAACAATGTCATTACTATAAATAGTAAGATTGTCCCTGTTTTTAAAAAAAAAAAAAAAAGATTGTCCCTGTTTACAAACCTGATTCAGAGTCGATATAGATCAAATTCCCAATGAATTCTTGAAAATTTTTAAAGAAGTTCTCTCGCAGCCTATTTTAGATCTTTTTAATGCTATCAGAATGTTTGAAATAATTCCATTTGATGGGCAACAAGGTATTGTCAAACCCCTCCATAAGGAAGGTGATCCAGAAGTTTTCGATTAATTATCGTGGAATAACGATTACATCCAATATGTCTAAATTATTCTCGAATCTGTTGGAAAACCAGATACTGGACTTTCTTCATTGTGGGATCCACAGCGTTTACTATCCTTTTGGAATAGTTCAGACTGTGGGATACTGAATGTAATAAATGTTTCCTTTAACTCTAAAATGTACTGACCAATTAAATTATTTACAGAGTTCTATTGACCATGAGTATCATGGGAAGGCATTACCTGCAGTTGCATGATTAACATAAGCAGACAAAGCCTAATGAGTGTGGCCAAACACAATTCCCTCCCAAATAATCCAAGTGTTGACATTTGCATGATAATTATTGTTTAAAATTCTAAATTGGAAAACAATATGAAAAAGAAGTATGTCAATATTATCCTAGTTATTATCATCAATATAAAAACAAGAACCATCAAGATAAATAAGTTTTCCACAAAATGAATTCATTGAATTAAAGTTTACAAAGGGAAAACAGGACAGTGCATTCTTAGGCATTGATTTATTCCTCCATACACTGATTTACTTGGAGAATGCACTGGCTGGGAACATGTTCTGCCTCATGATATATCAGAGTCTCTCAAAAGCGTTAGGTAAAGAGGGGCTCTGATAAATCAGAATGGACTTTCTTCGTGAAAACAATCTTTTAGGTGACCTTCAAGGCGCATTTCAAAAAGGCAAAATATTAGAAAATCATATCTTTTCCCTTAAAGGACTATGTAGCCTTCGTAAAGATAAGAAACTCAAATCCTATTTAGCTTTTATTGACATTTCTCATGATTTGCTATTTCTAAAACTTTGGGAAAGGGGAATCCAAAGTAAAACTTGGAGGATTTTGAAATCACTATACTCTAACACTTCAAACAAGGTCATCTTTGGACAATATGAAACTGACTGGTTTGACTCCTCATCTGGAGTGAAGCAAGGTTGTATTTTATCCCCGACCCTTTTCTCCATAGTAATGACAGACCTTGAAGACAGTTTAAAAATGTCCAGTTTTGGTCTGCCCTTTGAAGATAAAAAAATCCCCTGTCTTCTTTATGCCGATGACATTGTATTAATGGGTCAATCTGAGAAAGAACTCCAGTCAATGTTAACAATCACTAATAATTTTGGACTTAAATGGGGATTTCAGTTCAGTGACAAAAAGTCTAAGATAATGATAATAGGGAAAAGACTTGATTCGGAAAAGGTGGTCATTAGGGAATTTGAGACTGCCAGAGGTAAATTAGTACAAATATCTTGGAGTAATGTTCAATAGAAGTCTCAAAGAAAAAGCACATCTGAAATATTTATATGAAAAGGCCAGGAAAATGAAAAATTATTTAAGTTCTACTTTGACCAAACATTGTAATGTCAAGCGCATTGAATTTGGAAGTACAATTTACAACTCTATGATGGCACCTGCTATCCTGCATGGATGCCCGACCTGGGTACTCCCAAAGTCAAGCCTTGCCAAAATTACCTCATTTCAATATGGTGCTGCCCAAGCCATTTTTCAAGTTAAAAGTATACCCGCCATTGAATCTATTTTGGGGGATTTAGGCTGGAAAGCGATAGCAGAGGTGATTGAAAAAAGACAAATTGACTATTTGAACTACCTTAATTTTAATGTACCAACTACATCCCTCCCTCATAAAATCCTACAGAATTTGCTAAAATTATTAAAAGTCGGCAAAATTTGCATCAAATGCACGGAATATTTTAAGAGATAAAGGTTTAGATGATGTCATTTTTCGGAATGACAGCGAATGGTACCCCTCATTTTTAACTATATCTCAATCCCAAAGTATATATAATTTCCACACTAGGGTAGCCGAACACCCCTTCCTTGAAATATATAAGGAGGTTAAAACCCATAACCGCTCCGAAAGGTACCTTAAGAATGACCTCAATTTTTATGGATCTAAAATGAAATTTCTAGCAAGATATAATAATTTCTGGCTTGAGACAAATTATGAAAAGTGGGAAAAAAGTGATGGTATATGTATAATGTGTAATCCTAATTTGAGAGATACACTATCACGCAGATTAATGGTGTGTCCCCATTTTGCCAAAGCCAGTTCCAACTTTTACAACGATGTAGAGAAATATGTTTCTCCCATTTTAAGTAGCAGTTTATTGTCTTCGAACATTCATGATAGGTTAATTGCACTACTTGGTGATAAGGTTTTTATAGAATGGGGGCATGACATTTTTTATATGTTTGACAAATATGTGAAGATGCTTTTAACAACACTTTTTAACCCTAGAAAACTGTAGTATTTTATGTAAACATTTTTAGTGCTCATAAAATATATATGCAGATTACAAATACTGACGCACCTAATAATAGTGAGCCGCTGTTAAAAAAGCGTATGTAAAAATAAATAAATAAAAATAAATATTTTGTCACTGTACCTTGTCGATGGTAAGGCGTGTTGGTATGATCAGCAAATCAACTGTCACAGTGATAATATAAAAACACTATTCATTGACAAAACTGACACCTGCTCGGGAGGATTACATGATTGTGCAAAAATCCCCTCAATTTTGCATGTACATGTTTATGAATGTATTGAAAGGAATTACATGTTATTACGTTGCTTAGACCCATGGTAATGATATATGCTTCTCAAGAGGTCATACTCCAGTGCAGATATACATATTACCCTACTATCACACCAAACTAGTTTTCACTACGTTCTCGAAAACGGGCTTCAACTGTGTACGAACGGACTGGACGTACTTAGAACCGTTTGGGGTCTATTACAAACGTCATCGAACGTACTCGAACGGGTAGGTCCTCTAGAACTTAGAGCATGCTTAAAATGTTCTCGTGGTCGATACGTTCTTCAATTAGAACGCGTGACAACGTACTAACGACGAGCTGGACGTACTACGAACGGAACCGTCGAACTTCAATCCTACTAGGGACGTTTTAACAAGAGTTGAACTGTCTGAGGACGTATTGCGAACGAGGTTGAACGTATTGCAAACGGGTTTAAACTGATTAAGAACGTATTTAAGACTTCTTATGAACGAGTTAGCAAAAGTATAGCTATCAGACCAAACAAGTTGCCACTGCGTTCTTCAAAACTGGTTTTAAACTGTGTTTGAACGGAATGAAAGTACTGCAACTTTCTAAGGTCTATTTACGAACTTCATGAACGTTCTCAGACGGGAAGGTGATTTTAGAATTGGCGACCATACCGTTCTGTAATCAGGTCATGATGACCTTCTAGACTAAGGGACGCGTTATACGACGTTGCACACCGATGTGGTGCGACCTGAACGAACTGCGAATGAGATGGACGTATTGAAGACTGTTTATGAACGAAGTAGCTAATTATTTTAGACATATTTCCCGACCACAGCCAGATTGAGCCCGTTTTAGGACGTTTTCGTAGGACTGGCAAAAACGGGTAAGAACTAGTTGTGTGTGATATGGGGGTAAGTTCATGAAAAGATCATATGAATAAAGAAAATATACTTGAATATATAAAACACAATTGTCACAATCATTCTAAGGATTTTCAAAATGGCTGACAGCATTTTATTTCATGCAGAAAAGTTCCATATTTGCACAACGCCTGGTCCTTACCTAGATTTTTATATATCTCAAGTGGTACCTTAGAAGTACACTATTCCCTCACTACATATAACTTTCTAGGTAAGAACCAGGCGTTATATGAACATAGCAAGAGTTCATCATGACTTTCCTCTCTCAAAGAATAAGTAGGTCAACACAATTACAAACATATTTCATCCCTATTCAATGGCTATACATGAGTGTATAGAGTGACACAATTAAGCAATTGGAAATCTGCCAAGTTGGGTTTATACATTCTGGAGACTTTTTCTGAAACTGATAAAAATTCTCATTTTCACAGGAAGTGATACATACCTCCTAAATCGACCAAAATATACGTATTTGAGTAATGTTGAATGCTTTTTATTGCTATTTCTTTAAAATATACATATTTATCTGCAATTTGATTCTACATATCATTTTTCTAAAACTTTTAAGTGACCCCAGGGGTGTCTATAGCCATTCGTTCTTTTAGAATTTTGGGAACATTTTTTAGCCAGTACTGTACCTTAAGACCATATCTTACCTCTCGAACTCAATTTATGTATTACGAAGTATGAAAAAATGTCCTCTTGAACATTGAACTCATTAAAATTCATAGCTAACAGTATTAGTGAACCTTGCTTATGAGTGAGCGTGGGACGCAGCGACGATATCACTGTGGTGATTTTATAATTTCAATACGAAAAAACATATAACAATCGTAAGTGCAGTGACATTTCCGAAGATGTTCCTTAAAGTTGGCGTTATCGTATCCCTGTGTATATCAGGTATATTGTTGAAGAAAGACCAAAAGATAACAATCGCAGAAATTGGGGAAAACGAAAACTGTGATTTGTGTGAACTTGATACTCATCGCGATGTAATTGTCACCTTTCAATGTCACCAATATTTGTCACCTAACAAGACGAAGACATTTACAACTATTGATGAACTTTTCTCCTGTCTTCCGAATTTCACTCAAAGGATCTTACAGATCAGGGTTAACATTTCCGGATTTAACTTTGGAGTCGTACCAAATGGATCATTTAGCCGCGTACCGTATATGGCCAAATTAACATTAAGAGAATGTAACATTACGAGACTAGAACCAAATGCTTTCAATGGCTCCGAAATAATTAAGCTTGCAATTGTGGACGTTGGCAAAGATAAGGAAGGTATCTCGATCCTGAATCGTCGTTTGTTACAGCAGTTTCACACAATTGCGGAATTAAATCTAGGAAAAGTGAGAAGCATTGAAAATGAAACATTCACTGCTCTTCCAGACCTTTATCGACTTACTTTGGAACACAAAAGTATCTTGGACCACAACCAAGTATTCAGACATATGCATAAATTGCGAATTCTTATTCTCGATGGGATAGGATTAAAACAAATCCCTGGTGTCATTTTGCCCTATATCCCAACCTTGCAAGAACTCAATTTAGCCAACAATGCTATAACAAGCCTTCGATTTAATGGAACGCTTGGAACCCGTTGGAACTTTAGGCTTGACGTTTCTGGAAACAGTATCAAATCAGTGACACAATCTGATATGATACAGTTCAAAGATGTTGGTACCTTGTCACTTGATCTAGGTGGCAATGATTTAGAAGAAATCGAACGATATTTTCTTAGAGACATCAATACAATAGATAAGCTTTTGTTTAACCGAAACCTTAAATTGGGAAAAACAAATGCATTTATGAACTTGCTGAAAAGCTCGAAGGGCAAGCCTATTAAAAGGCTGGGATTATCGGGTTGTGGCATTGTAATTGATAGCTTTAATTCGTCTATCCTCAAGCCCCTCGAGGATTCCGACCTTCAAACTCTATGGCTTGGGAACAACTTGATAGATACTCTTGAAAGTGATGCATTTGAACCAGTGAAATCGTTGTACTATCTTGAGATATCAAACTTTATGCACATTTCCAATGAGACATTTTCCCCACTGCGTAACTTAGGATCTCTTGAGATTCATGACATGTCTGTGCTTCAAACAAGAAAAGAGCATGTGAATGTTCGTTTGAATCAACTAAGAGAATTGGACACACTCTGGCTGCACAAACTGGATTACTCTCGCATCTTTTTTACTTTCGGAAATGATCAGCCAAATCTAAGAAATTTAACATTAAACAATCTGGGTGAGTTATTTGAAGTATATCGTGGTCAAGTTTTGAATTTGATCACAAAACCATTCTCATATTTCTCATCCCTCGACTTATCTGGAAATTTATTGTTTCGCTATCCTGACACTTCTCTTTGTCAACTATTTAATGGAGTCGAAACTCGTCGATTGTATTTACGTGAAAACTATTTCAAAATGCTCCCGGATTGTATATTTCAAAATATTTCCACAGGTTTGATAGATTTGAGCCAAAACAGAATAACTTATATTCAAGATGATTTGTTTAAAAAGATCCCTAAATTAATCAATTTATACTTAGTCGGGAATAGCATAAGCTTGATTGATGGAACAGCACTGAGTCGAGTCACGCGTTTCATACATCTTGAAAATAATTTGATTGAATGTAACTGTGCAGCGCAACCCTTTACAAATTGGCTACGACGAAGAAAGCATCAAAAGGGAAAAGTCTATCATGACAAACTTTGTAGTTCATCTGAAGGACCAACAAATCAAGAACTGTTGAAATTTGAATTAACATGGTTGGAATGTAACATGGAAGTCTTTATTAGAATCATTGCTCTATCAGTTAGCAGTGTTGTTCTGGTTGGGATAATAACTGCTTCACTTTTGAAATATTTCTGGCAAGACATAAAGTACATGCAGCTGGTCAGGAGAGCAAAACGCCACCATGGATATATTCGAATTCCAGTTGATGATCCAAATGCTATCCAAGATGATATTCCAATGGATGGTGGCAACCCAGAAGATGAAATATATGATGCTTTCGTCAGCTACCATTCTGAGAAGCGCATATGGGTACGTGACGTGATGACGCCAGAACTGACGAAAGGAGAAGTTCCATTCTCATTGATACATGATGATAACATTATACCAGGACAAGAGTCATACTTTGGTGGACTAATGTCCCACATGGACCGTAGCCGCCATATTATATTCCTGGTTACTCGAGGCTGGATGAAGGAGGGATGGAATGAGTTTGAAATGGACTCTGCTATAGATATGCTCACTCAGACCAAACGCCACACACTCATAGTTATTCTGTTGGAGCACATACCACAAAAAGAGATGTCGCACAAGCTTAAACTGATGGTAAGACACAATGTCTGCCTGAAATGGAGCGAAGAAGAAGGAAAGCAGCGGACATTTTGGAGAGATCTGAAACTGGAACTCGGGAAAAAGCGATATGAGTGAGGCCATCCTCTTAAAAAGGAGGATAAATATTGTAAATAGCTGATTGCCTTCTGTTTATCATTATCTTCAAAAAATGTTACATGATTTAAGTACACATATTTCCCCTTGAAAATAAGGATAAATGATAAACAAAACTTGTTCCTTTCTGTTTATCCTCATATTGAAAAAGTGATTTAATAAAACAAACCTTAACGTTTCCTTCTTTCTATGGAAAACGTTACGTTAAGTTATGTTTCCTGGTGCCTAGTCAAGGGAATAATACTTTTAAACGTGACACGGGTATTTATTGGTTCAATCATTCAGTATTACTAATGCTCATTCTGTAGCATATCATATATCATTAGCATAGCTTCAAATATTGGTGGGTCAAAGAAATAATGTATTGGACATATTCACACTTCAACCCCAAGTTCTCGAGAGTGTAAGGGGGGAATATATATACGAGTATATCTACAATGAAAGTCATGTGACTCCTGTTGATCCAATTACAGAATGAGTAACATGACAGTGAGATTCATGTAATTCTTGTATAATACTTTTTGTAAAATACAAACGGTTCTGATTATAAGTTATTGTATATTCATAGTCTCGATATTCTGTATTGGCACTCGACTACGTCTCGTTCCAATACGGGATTTCTCGAGCAGAATATATATATATCCTGTATTGCACTTCAAATCATTCTAATAACGTTTTTATCGTGTGATCCTCTGTATTGCTACTGAGAATGTCCCCTCCGTACCAATATTTTCTGTATTGCGACGGAGATGATCAATGGGGATAATCTCAGTAGCAATACAGATTGGTACAGCACAAGAACTGACAAATCAGAAGGCTTCATTATACACAGATTATACGATAAGAAAATGTATTAATACTATGATCCACATAAATTACTTGTAATGACCAAGGCCCGTAGCCAGGATTTGCCAGGGGGTTCACTTTTATAAAAATTCCAGGGGTGGTTCACGACAATTTTGGTCCAAAATGGCCAAAATCACTTGAAAAGCCTCGGAATGGTCAGAATGGTCGGAAAACTGCATGATTTTGAACTTGATTTTTTGGCCGGAGGGGGGGGGGGTTCGCTCGAACCCATCGAACCCTCTATGGCTACGGGCCTGTTATGCAAAATATATTTCTTACACCCAATCTTGTACATACATGTGTACATAGCTACCTAGGATAGCTACAGATTCAGGTCGACTGCTCATGACTTCTTTTCAATACTTTTGGCTTTTTTATTTGTCAGACAGTTGTGAAAATTGCATATAATATCCTGCTTTATAATTGGAATATATTTTATATCGTATCAACACAACCTTGTACTGTTACTTGTTTTCCACTGGTTCAAAATCTGGAGGACGCGATATCTCACTGGGAGGATTTACATCCTCCAGACCAGAGACATGTTTTATATGTCTCTCTGTCCATACTAAAATACATTTACCAATTTGCAGTGATAACAAACACATATCTAATATCTATACATTATAACATATTTAAATATATAACTATTATTCAAGGGTAAAAAATAAGAACTTAAATACACAATGTTTGCCAAAGTAATCCATAACACTGTCACTTTTGACGCACGTCAAATTATCCGCCATTTCGTCTGATTCTGATTGAACGAAATGCAATGGTACTTTCAGACCCTTGTGACTGCTATTTGGATGTGTTTATTTTTTCTGATTCAAAATCGTGCAAACAAAACAAAGAACCTTCTTATGGCCTCAAGCAAGGTTATTATTTAGAAACCAATATTTCGATTCACATAAAAGTTTCAAAGTTCAGCATCTAGTTAACACTCAAACTTTCGACCAATCAGCAATCAGAAAACAATTTTGGTGAGAGAGGGAAAATGAAAAGTTTTGAATTTCTTCATAATTTCCTGTTTTATTGACCATTCAGAATGCGAATTTTTATTCGTAATAAGTCCAGGTATAGCCCCGAGTTCCAGGAAGATGACATGATGTACATTGACGTGCAGGACTATGCCGGAACTACAATAAATGAGCTGAAAGAGGTAAATTGATTAATTTTGGTGGGTGATAATAGGCTACAGTGCTCAGTTAGACTATATCCTATTTAGTCTGAATTATATTCAGACTATAAGGCACCTATGTTAAAGTTTGGTAATTCTAAATATTTGTTTACATAGGAAGTGCTATTCAAAATGGCCGATTGGGTAAAATTAATTTGCACATTTGTTACTTCAATTAGCTTTATTTCCACTTGACAATATGCTGTGTAGTCCAACAACATTAGACCTAGCCCGGGCCTCGTTTCTTATCTGACATGTGTTATGGCCCGGCTAGGTCTAACCTCCATGACCATTTTGCCTTTGATGCGTTAATTTAATCGTTCAGCAGGTTTCGACATGCGGAACTAATTGAACCCTGAAAACATGGCAATATTACACAAAGAATGTGATTCAAGCATGCATACATACCTTATAAACACATACACCCCGTCCCGTATCCCCCTTAGACCCTATTGATGCATAATTACGAAAATATTGGAGACAGGTTTGGAATATGACGAAAATGTCGGTCAGTTTCGGTAACATCGAAATTGCAAATCGTTTCAGGAATTAACCGTCATCAAGGCACTGCATTAACGAACAGTTGGTTTGCAATTAATAACTATTTTGCGTGTATATACGCGCTATATAAATTAATCAAAGATACCTGTTATCCTCAAAATTGATCTTTTTATCCCGAGTAATCACGATAATAATTATCAATCTATTTGACAACAATTTCGTTTCGCTGGTAGTTTAATTTTACGATCCGGGACACTCAGACGAACAGACACAATGACGGACATGCGGGAATGTCACTTTAGAGATTGGTAAGTGTAGCCTCATTTTACTCGTATAAATGAACATTTAACACAATAATATTGTGTTAAATCGCTTGATATTATGTGTTTTTATATTATTGTCAAGTATCAGTTGCACGTTATCGCGGAAAAATGGTTTCGATGGATTCAGAACTTGCATCAAAGGAAAGAATAGTAAGGAGGTTAAACTCAATAATGGCCCCAAGAAAATTCCTAATAATAAAGAACGCCGTTATTGAGTTTAACGACGTTGAACTATATGCTGTGTTACTTTTTATTGCATTTAATTGTACCTTACTATTTAATTGAAATTTTGTAATGTTTATTTTATTGAAAAAATGGTTGCTCCAATTGATAATTTTGTGCAAAAAAATTCACTGCAATTTCCACAGGAAAGTAGTACATCATAATAGACTGACTTCTAGTCAGTCTGTTGGATACATACTAAGTGCTCAGTGGCATCTTGATTTTCTATCACCATTCCCAGATCATGGTGATTTGAGACTTCATACTTTCCAATAATGTCTAGATACACACATCCCTTTGGTTTTGTATATTTTACATTTTGTATACTCTCAGTCTCAACTAAAGTCTAGTTTTTTATTTTGGAAACCAGTTCATAAATCCATGGGCTCTAATTGAAAGCCCATGATAAATCATGTGGTTAAAATAAGGAAATGTTGTGATGTAACCACGTATCTACTAACTTACCAGTTTGTTCTATGTCATCTATTGGACTAAGTTGCATTGTGGAACTCGGCTAAACACCAGACTGAAGGCAGTATTCTGAGGTTATAAAATATGAATCAAGATACTTTTATGTTTTGTAGCACTGTAAAAGAAAGTCCCCAGCAAAGATTGATGAACTGTTTTACCGCAATGAGGCCCTAGCAGATGACAGGTATGTCAACCAATCCATTAAATCTATAATGTACCCATAGAAATAAATTAGATGAAAACTAAATATTTATATAAATCCCAGCACTGTTGTTATAATACATAGAAATGTGTATTATTTTCTTGCTCTTTTTGCTCTTTGACAACAAATAGAAGACTGGATCCAAAAAAGAGTTGTCAGGAAATTTTTTCTGTCAGTCATGGACTTAGCATAATAGATGGTGATCATCAAAGTCTCAAAATCAGTTAAAAGTTTCACAATGAATACCTCCATATTTAGTCTTCCATTGAGTCTCTTATCATCCCCCCCCTCCATGTCACCCTTATTTGATTCACCTCCTGACCAGAGGTGGGATGTGTAGGGGGCACCCTATCTTGATGTGTGAATTCTTACATATCAACATGAAATGTTCTTATTTACTGAATCTGTATTTTTTTATATTTTGTTTAGGTCTGTAGCACACAACAATCTGCATGACAATGTCATCCTGGAAACAACTTCTAATCCATTCTTCCTGGCCTGTATGAATATCCTCTTAGTGAAGGCAGAAAGGAACATGTCCGACTACCCCGATAAATCCCCCGAGTATTCCCGTTTCAAAAGATCAAAGATACACAAAATAACAATCATTGGTGTGCTTACCAATTCGAAAAAGTAAGTTTACCTACTCTTCAATATTTAGAAATTGTGGATATTCTGAATGAAAGTACATGTTATGTTGTACTGTACTATACTGTATTAATATACTGCACTATACTGTACTGTACTGTACTCTAATATACTCTCATGTACTGTTCTATACTGTACTCCCTATGATATCCTCATTGTACATACGGTACTTAATTACTTTTCACCAATTCTGAAATTCTGATTGTGTCCAAAACTGGTCAAACTATCACAATTTTTATTTCTTTTTGCTCAACTACTGTATGCAGGTTTTTTTTTAGCAGCAGTCAACAGGCGATCTTCACCAGTTGTTATCACAAAATCGCCTGTTGTTTTTAAGGTCTTTTCAACTTTTCCATGTTAAATTATGATTTCCATTGATTTTGCCTCTTGTTTTCATTTATTTAGCCTGTTGTTAGAAATTTTAGTGAAACCCCTGTGTATGTATGAGTAATTGGGCATGTTGGTAACTTGTTTTAAAACACAACTGCTGTAGAAAGCACTGGATTATGTCATCTTCAATTAAATTTGCTATTATTGTTATTTTTAGAGAGAGTGACAGACAGCCACCTCACATGAGCAATGTGAATGCATTCATAGCCTACATAGACAGATTAGGCAAGAAAGGTGCTTCAATGAGTTATTTCACAAGAGATGCTTTGCATGAGTTCTATGAGGAGTTTGAACAGCTTGATATGCAGAAACCAGACCCTGTTGGATCATTCCTAAGACGCCATGCTATTCAGTTGGGATTCATTGATCCAAAAGATGGAGGTTTGTTCATTATTTGTTTAACTTTCAATGCTAGTCAATGTCGTTACAATAAGAAATGGATAAAAATAAAGATTCCATGAAAAATGCTAAAATATATTAATATAGAAATAGGTTGATAATAAGTTGATCACGGTGTTGCCCTTTGAGTTCTCTAATTAAGAATGACAAGATGCCCCAAATCACAATATAAATTAATAAATAAGAGGCTGTTCACAAAGTTATGAAAGGGTCAGGGGTGCTATTAAATCTATGAATTGGAAAGCAAGCATGACATCACTATTTTTCTAATTTTACGAAACGTTAGTAACTTTGCAAATCTTATGAAAATGCAACTTTATGAAATTCGCAAATTATACAATGGACTTACGAATGTTTGTTACGACAAACTGTACAAAAATGGGTCTCTGATTGTAACAGGTCGTTCAATAAGTTCATGCAAAAATATTCTCTTTTTTTTTTATTTTTCAATGCTTATCCTTGAAACTTTCACAAACCATAGAAAAATACCTACTAATTGAAAAACAAAAAATAAAATACTTTGTTTTGATTGGTCAAAAGTTATGGTTGCTAAGGTAACCCATGTTTTGGTCACGCGGGCAATTTATGACATGAAAAAAGTTTAATTTTAATTGAATTCTTGTGATTTATTAGTTGCACATTAGATACACTCTCTATAAAACATTGTCTTTTTAAATTGAAGTTCCTATCAAGCATGTCACTTCATTAATTAAATGCCTAGCTCCTGGTGCTTCACCTATTCTTCGTATTGAGCCCTAAAGTCACAAGGGATTTTAGTGCGTCACCCTAAGCGAGCTCTACAAAAGAAACGGCCTGAAATTACCCCCTTCTCCAAGCTATTTCACCAAGACAATGCCCCATGGTCATGAGCAAAAAATATGGTTCAGGATACCATCAGAGGTACCCTACAGATGGAGATTTTAGGCCAGGCTGCATACTCCCCTGATGAGGCTGTATTGGACTTTTGGGTGTTCAATAGGATGAAAGATGAACTGAGAGGTGGTCGTATGCAAGCATGACAGAGCTCAATGCAGCTGTGCAGAGTGCAATGCGTACTAAATTCCCTTGTGGCTTTAGGGCTCAATACGAAGAATGGGTGAAGCGCCAGGAACTATATGCATCCAGTATAAAGGAGATACAGTATGATGAGAATATCTTGAGCATTTAATGAAGTGACTTGCTTGCTTGGAGAGATAGTTATTCAAAAATTAGAAAGAGTGTGTATGTACTGTTCATTTAATTTGTAGTTTTGCATTTCTAATTTTATGATTAGATGATGTTGGAGGGGCTGTTGTACATAATGGGCCAGGCCATACTGCAGAGCTTAACCACCAGCATGATATCAATGTCATTAATCCTAACAACAGAGCTGGTAAAATTAAGAATAACAAAGCTGGTGTCACCCCTACAACTAGAAGAGTGAAAGCAATTAAGGTAAGTTTACAATTTACACTACTATTCTAGTATTTTAAATGAACTATATAATGTGCTATCCTGGAGTTGGTTTGTGGTGGATAAAAGCACGAGACTTAAATGTTCCAGAAACACTTTCATGTTAGCTTATGTGGTAATTTCAACCATTAATGATCATCTAATTTTACATGGGTGCCATTATATACAGTTGAAACAATAGAACAAAAGATAGCAAAAACATGTCTTATCTCCAGATGTCTTTTCCAATACATGCACAGCTAGTTATGTGGACTTACATTATGATAGTATTGGTACAGCTGATAGGATTGGTACAGCTGATAGGATTGGTACAGCTGATAGGATTGGTACAGCTGATACTGTTGGTATAGCTGATAGGATTGATACAGCTGATAGGATTGATACAGCTGATACTGTTGGTACAGCTGATACTGTTGGTACAGCTGATAGGATTGGTACAGCTGATAGGATTGGTACAGCTGATACTGTTGGTATAGCTGATAGGATTGATACAGCTGATAGGATTGATACAGCTGATACTGTTGGTACAGCTGATACTGTTGGTACAGCTGATAGGATTGGTACAGCTGATAGGATTGGTACAGCTGATAGGATTGGTACAGCTTATACTGTTGGTATAGCTGATAGGATTGATACAGCTGATAGGATTGATACAGCTGATACTGTTGGTATAGCTGATAGGATTGATACAGCTGATAGGATTGATACAGCTGATACTGTTGGTACAGCTGATACTGTTGGTACAGCTGATAGGATTGGTACAGCTGATAGGATTGGTACAGCTGATACTGTTGGTTTAGCTGATAGGATTGATACAGCTGATAGGATTGATACAGCTGATACTGTTGGTACAGCTGATAGGATTGGTACAGCTGATACTGTTGGTATAGCTGATAGGATTGATACAGCTGATAGGATTGATACAGCTGATACTGTTGGTACAGCTGATACCGTTGGTACAGCTGATACTGTTGGTACAGCTGATACTGTTGGTACAGCTGATAGGATTGGTACAGCTGATACTGTTGGTACAGCTGATACTGTTGGTACAGCTGATAGGATTGGTACAGCTGATACTGTTGGTACAGCTGATAGGATTGATACAGCTGATACTGTTGGTACAGCTGATACCGTTGGTACAGCTGATAGGATTGATACAGCTGATACTGTTGGTACAGCTGATACCGTTGGTACAGCTGATAGGATTGGTACAGCTGATAGGATTGGTACAGCTGATAGTAAATGACTCTACACTCAAGATTTACTTATTGTTTGCCGTAACCTAGCCTACTAAATCTTAAGCTTGATACCTTCTGAATATTCTGCTAAAGATATTTATCCAATTTTTATTTTTTTTATTTGCACTGCCCTTATATAATGTACATGGCAAAGGGTGATTATTTCACCATTGTAGAAATGCTCTATGGGCATTAGTGTCACCATTGCAAACTGGTCAGTAGAACAGGTTGTCACACCATTTAGCAGGATTGTTGGAAGATTTATTTACTTCACAGAACCACGGGGGATAAGCAAAACGAGGGCGAAGCCACGGACTGCGACTCGCGTAATTCAAAACGAGGTTACAACGCATTATAGCTGAACAATGGCGGTAAGTCCAAACTTAATTTGGAAGGCATGTTAGGATTTGGGGTAGATTATTGGTTTGGACATTCTACAGAATAGCTAGTATATTCCAGTCGGTGATCAACATATTCATACTCCACCTGCAATGGCATTCTTGGTGCTCGGCTGTCCAATAGTTAAGCATGAACACAAATGAATTCAAAATCTGCCACAAAAAATGTAATTTTGTCAATATTTGTCCCTAATATACCGATTTAAACAAAGGAATCAGAAATGACATCGAATTAATATAATTATTCATGTTCTGTTGTTACAATTACATCTTCGTGTGATATTTGGTAAGCGGAAAACGTACAATTACATAGAAAATTGGAATTTATAATAGTCGCAGTCCATCCATCTGCCCAACGCAGTCCGCGACTCAGTGTTGCTTTATATCTGAAGCTGAACGCAATCACAGCCAAAGGTAGATAGCACAATGTGTGTACAGGTGTGGCCGAAATGGAGCAACTTTGGACAAAATTGAATATAAAGGGCTATTTTAATAGACCTACATCGTGTCTCAATCCATTCTGCAAATATATACAAGCTGTCAAATACAGCTGAAATCATGAATTTATGGTAGCTAGCAATATTGATGGACTGTTGGAAAGATCATCCAAAATTACATTAACTCACCAACTCTCCAATTATTTGATATTTTCCTGATCTCTTCCTGAAACAATAATAGCGTAGGAATATAGTTTACACTATCTTATTTATTTCGTGTTCGCGCCTGGACTGCGTTGCTTAGAATATCAATGGAGGCTGTGTTGCGTTGTTGAAATAGCTTTGTTTACTGGACTGCGTCCACTATGGATGCGCAGTTTGAATCTAATTTTCTCCTCATGAACACATTCTATTATCAAATCATTTTCACGAAATACACTCGGAGCCTCAACTAACCTTTAGATATCAGAAACGTGTTAAAAACTCCTTTCAAATGTATAGTAAATTAAATAATATGCACATATTTTACAGGTAAAATCAGAACTTTGCTACTGTTTTAGCTTGATCTGGACAACTGCTTATTTTCTTATCTACAGACCAACAGTAGATACAGAGTAATATTTCAGTCACCGACTAGACACTACGATAGCATTTAAAATACCTGGATTTCTCTATTTTGTCGGAAGAAGCAGAAGGCACTGCCGGATGTCCCTCCATTTTGGCGCTGGGCTGCGGTGTAAAGTTACGCGAGTCGCAGTCCGTGGCTTCGCCCTCGTTTTGCTTATCCCCCGTGAGAACTGATGAAGAGATAGTTACTCCAATATTATGTTACTTTGTTTAATTTTTTCCTTTCTCATTAATTAAGAATGTTTGTTAAGTATTCGCTAATTAATTAATTAGTTAAATCCTGAATTTTTGGTTGCTAAAGTAAGTAAGTAAGAAGTAAAACTTCAGTCACTGTGCACAAAAGTTGATGTAATTTGTTTTTATTAATTTTAATATTATTCCCATATTTCACTTATATTTGCTTAGAACAAAACTGGCAAAGTGATTCTAAGGATTTAGAATGAATTTCCAAATGCATATTTATTTATTCCATGAAGGCGATACTATAATACTAAATACATGTTTAGTTAACATTTCCAAAGTGAGAATCTTTAAAATAGATGTCATGGGTAATTTCAGGGAAACCAAACTTTAAGACAAAGGGATGTTCTCATGACTTCTAAATTGAATAGTTCTTCCAAGTGATTGAATCACAAATCTTTTAGATAAGAGGGGCAAGTTTAAATGTTCATTAAATAATACCAGATTTAATCAGTTGTGTCTCAATCTGCTTTATATGTATGTTAACAGTCAGAGTGACCTGGATTTAGGGACAAGTATGAAAGATCCCTTGTTTTTTTTCAAAAATGGCCACCATTTACATGTGTTATTTTATGTTTTTTACTATAGCTCAAAAAGTAATGGAGCAATTTTGTTGAAATTTTATAGGTCGCTACTAAGAAGCATTTTATACTTTCTATTGATAATTTGTCAAGTGAGTGGCTATTTTGAAAAATGGTGCTGATTTTTATGTGTTATTTTTTGATTTAAGCTATCACTGAAAAGTAGTGAATGGCAGTCATGGCTGTTCAATGGGATTTGCTCCATTATGGCATTGCCATTATTTAGTTGTGATTGGTATAACTTAAATAAAGAAATATAATGCAGAAAAAAATATCTCTGGGTCTTGAAACAACAGCTTGCCCAAGATTGTCAGCGTTTGTCAGCCATCGTATTTTCTGATACTGCATGTAGTTGAATTAGGTTTCTTAATAAATAGATCTATATGTATCTTAATGTTATTATACAGCTGAAATAGCCTCCGGTCCAATATAGAAGGTGTTACTATAATTGAATGGTAGCGTGACTAGGACCAGGTGTCATTTTTTATATAAATCTCAGTTTTAGATATTTGTGTTGTGATACCATCTGAACCACTAACTCGAACTCCCGTGCAGTGATATATCACTGCGGCGGGCAGGTATCTCATCGTAAGCATGGTAACATCGTAATAAACAACTGACGTGATTGGTTCTAGTCCCATGCTCAGGTCGCGTGATTGTTAAATTTAGACAATTTCATTGGTTGAATTGCGCGTATTAACTAATAAACAACACGTGCGGTAAACTTTTATCAACACAACTTTTATTCAGAATTCCTTCCGCGGGGATTTCCTCTTATATTTCATTGATTTTGGAATATTTTGACAAAATAATTTTGGTGAACATAAAAGAACATATGTTTTATAAGTTGTGTGAAAAACAAGTACATCTGTGAGAAAAAGGGGGGACTATCTTCCCCAAATTTTGGGGATTCCATAATCTGCCCGCCGCAGTGTCTATCCCGAGACACTGCATAGGAGTTCGCCACTAACTGAAGTATTGTATGGTCTGACTCGTGCTGCCCCCTTTTAAAGGTGACTAACCTAAATGTACATAAAGCTTGAGTCTGCAATAATGTGACCAAGGGAAAAATCAATATCCGTTGATTTCAGCGGGAAGTGGCGTTTTGTTCAGTGGATGAGCTGCGCGCGCACGCACAAATGTGATTATCCTATATTATTTAGGGGAGGGCTATTTGAAATAGTTTTTGGTCTCAGGCGCGACCCAGGGCTGTTGTCTTAAGGACATTTCGTTGAAAATGAGCCATTCGGCTGATAATTGGCAAGAGTTTGCGATCTTATAATGTATAACTGTTACTCAGACACATATTTTGACACGATTCTGTTGGAAATAAGCTTTGAACCGAGAGATATTCACGATTGATATGCACATTTTTGATTGTGCCATTGCTTTTCCATTGCACAATCCATGTATTGATAGAACTAACATTAATAATGCAGATTGTTTTACCTTCAATACATG